CGACCTGCAGATAAAGTTGCCTTCAGTCGCTGCAGACCTCCCGGTGTCACAGGCAAACAGTCCTTAGCCATGAGTGAGAGGCCTTAATCAGGGCGTTCAACACTAGACTGACATGACGCACAGTCTCTGACGAACAGTGCAGCCCGCTGAGGTAGATACTATCGGAAATATCACTCCTTCCGCTGCACGGGCGAAGCATCTCCGCGGGCGGCCCGGAGACCAGGCGACCAGTCAGTCGTAGCGGAACTATTATTAAGTGGACCAACACCAGTGACGTCGGCTTTCGCAGGAAACTCTAGATGAAGCGCATCCAGGCAGGTGACGCCGTGAACTGGTGCGGCTGGCCGCCGCCAGCGCAGCATACCGCATGGTCTTCAGACCTCCCCACTCTCCCACCGAACCGACCGTTGGCCCACGATCCTGTTCCCTCCTCCGACCTCTGCAGAGCATTTGCCGCTCCCCGGCCGCTACCCCCTGCAGCCGAAACCACCGCCAGAAAGCGGATCTGGACAGGGTCAGCGTGCGTACAAAATGGTCCCGAGGCCATTCGCTGGTCGGCGAGGGTAGCACCACGCCTCTTCATATCTGGAGTTTGCTTGCAGCACATGCGTTGGTACTCCAGTGGTCCAGGGTGACCAGACTGCAGGGCGGCAGTACAGACTGCAGGGCGGCAGTACAGACCGCAGGGCGGCAGTACAGACTGCAGGGCGGCAGTACAGACTGCAGGGCGGCAGTACAGACTGCAGGGCGGCAGTACAGACTGCAGGGCGGCAGTACAGACTGCAGCCGCAGTATCCGGCTGAATCCAGCGAGCCCAGGAGCGGTCCACCGAAGAAGCTGAAGAGGTCTTCAGAAGAGACGGACATCGTCAGCGTATATCCTGGGTGTCCCGACAATGCCGCCTCGCCGTCTCCAGCAGCCGAGCGATGTCAGGCCACAGGGCCACTGGGCCACTGAGCTCATCGTGGGACCATCGAGTCAGAGCGCGGAGCTGGTGCTGGCTGGAAGGAAGGAGAATAGGAGATAAAGAGCAGAAAGCAACGGGGAGCAGAGAGTGAAGTAATCAATCAAATGGCCACTGAACAGCAGAATGTGATCATTTTGAGAAGATATCAAACGGTAGCAGAAGAAAGCATACCGTGGAGCGTTCTACTGAATTTAAAACAATGGATAGATTACATACATAATGTGGTTAGGTTCCCAAATGCTTCTGAATGATCAGCATCATGAGGTGTGGTAAAGGTTACATGGTTTCCCGTGGCCACACCTCAAGACGCGTTGAATTTCATTGATCAAATATAGACTGGTGACGAGAACGAATAAGTAAGTGAACTAGAAAAAAACAACAAAAAACAAAACAACAACAAAAAGAAAAGAAATAATACTGATAATATAGCTATAATATCCCACTGCCACACACTGAAACACTATCCTAACAAAACATGGTAGGAACTACATATGGAAGGATCGCCAATCCGTCAGCAAAATCATTGTCCTTATCCTGCTAATGAGAGGTGCCCACACCGTGGGCGAAGATACAGTTTGTTTTTGTTTTTTCCTCAATTATATATGATAAACACACATGATAAAATATAACACAAAAATCAATACACAGGTTAGTAGGTGTCCAAAAACAGTATTTTTACACACTTCTTGAAAAGACCCTTTGAACGGGGAATGTCATTGATGTTAGGTATCTTAGGAGTAGAAGGCATTAGAAGGCAGTAGAAGGCATATTGCGCCGTAGAAGGCAAAATAAAGGTTTTGGGAGGGTGTGACATTAATTTGGGGACACCCTGTAAAATGTGTGGTCTCTGCAAGCTGTTGTTCCACTCTTGAGACTTTGGGACAGATCTTCAGCCCTTGTTGGATATGGCCGCCCCTACAACTGGAGCTTTGGCTCCCTATCGAGGACCTGGGACGGATCAGTCCAGAGCTGCACCTCGTAGGTAATGTAATCATTTAAAGGGACTATCCCACCTTTAACATGGGGTTTGAGTTGAGATAGCCAAGTTTGCGGCGAGGTTCAGAAACCACTATATATCTAGGTTGCAACCCCCGCGGCCTCTTGGTGTTGAAGAAATTCGTTCCCTTCATTTGAAAATGGGCCTTGTACAAGGCCCTATCTTCAACATGGAGCGACCGTTAGTGTGACGTCACCTCGTTTAGTCATTCTGATTTAAATGGGTTTGTTCGTTGAAAAATCGCTTAAAACTTGGACTGAACTTTGTTGTGGTGCCTACAGAGTAAAAAGAATCAGCTTTATGACAGTAATGTGGCCTGGGGAAGGAGGTAATTTTGGGCTGTGACGTCACATATTTGAAAGTTTGTGTTTGGAATATGGGAAGCCTAAGATGTTTAATGAAAAATAAATGCCAGAACCGTGTTCCTGGTCATCCATTCTATAAAGTCGGGCACAATTTAACTGGTTTTAACAACATTTTAGAAGGTGGGATAGTCCCTTTAATATGCCAAAAAACGTTCAAAGAGACAAAAGCATCTCATCACAATTTTTTTTTCACTCCGATGCGGGCCGAGGGATGCCGTGGTCGGAGATGGGGAGGGGACTCCGAGCGATTTTTTAAAAGCCGGAGCCGGAGTTACCAAAATCAATCTACTCCGCAGCCCTGTAAGCAAGGGTACAGTGTCAGCAATTCGCATGATTCAATTTGTATAGGTACGAGTAGGTATCCGCAATTTCATCCCAAAACAATACACCAATTTCGTAGGTCACTTTTTAAATCATTCATGGGGATGTTTTTGCGGGGGACGTCCCCCCCCCGGATTCCTCGACTGGGGGGGACGCGTCCCCCCGTCCCCCCGGTTTCGACGCCCATGTCGGCCACACTGTGCACTCAGCCTACCCGCGGCTGTGTCTACTCCCGCGCAGCCCTTTGTTTCCCTGCCCGCCGCCGCCGCGCCGCCGAGCCATCCCTCCCCTCCGGCTTTTCTGACCGGCCACCGCTGGAGCCCTGTTCGGCGTCCGCTCGCTGGGCCGCCGCGCCGGTCTCACGCTGACGAGTCTACAGGCAAGGCGGCAGCTGGTGGCCGGCCGGCGGGCTGGCGGCACTCTCAGCTCCCATCGCGGCGCGGCGGCGCGTCTCCCAGCAGGGGCTCCGCCGCACACTGGGCCAGCTGGCCTTCAAAGGCCGCCAATAAAACAGCCGAACGGCCGAACGGGTCAAAATGGTGTGGCCTGGGGTTACATCATTTTGACATCATTTTTCCTGGGATGCGAAAAAAATAATCGCAAAACTAAACGTAAAAATTGCACATCAACATACGAAAACGTCAAAAAAAGGAAAATATGCAAAGTTGCGCAACTTTTTTCTTCAAAAACATAATCTACGGACATTAGGGTACCTACATTCCCTGAAAAATCTTATTCGGATCCCACCTGCATTTGTTGTATTGTAGCTCTACACTTACCTGCGTTACTTTCGTTTTTCATAATTAAACAAACTCAAATAAACTCGCAAAAAATGCTAAAAAATAATGGGTCGCGTCCTTATCAGGGTGGTTTCCATAACCACATGGGATAAGGAGTTCAGCGGCATGCATCATTTTACCACGCGGCTTCCACATTTTGACAAACAGCTACACAAACTTAGCTCGCGTACATTACGGTTTTAACTGTATGTACTGCTTAAAGGTAGTGTGCCACCTTTAAAAGATTTCCCATTTTATTTTTCCTAGGATAAGAAGCTTCTGTTTTTACCTAATATCGCAAAAAAAAATCAAAAATGGGCCTGGAATAGTGCCTTTTTCGCCTAAAAGTTTATCGGTTTTTCGATATGTATAACAATTGTAGTGGGCTGACCTGTAAACAGGCGTCGGCAACAATCGCGAATGCGGCGCACATGTGACAATAAGCAAAGGTCATTATAGAGTTACGACGTACGGGAATGAGTTATCAGCTGTCTAATCGTAGACAACACAATGTCGAGCCTTAAACTGTAAGCCTGTATTGGTATTGTTTCTTTTATGTGGCTGTCGAACATCATTTATGGTTGAAATATGATTTTATGTAAAATAATTGATATGAAAAAGCCGTCTCTTAAGTTATGACCCCATTTCACCACACGCAAGTGGCAGAAATGACAATGATCAGCTGACGCATTTTTCTTGGCCGAAGTCAGAGCGCGCGGCCCGACGCACCACCACCGCACCACAAAGTATGAGCAGAAGCCGCGCCCAAAGCCAGGGCCCCGGTAACGTGAGGTAGCGGAGTCGGGGCAGCGTGCGCTGACCCAAGCCGGGGCCGCAGCTTTGGGCGCGGTCTACCGCATCCCCGCGGGCAGCCCCGGGCTATCACATGACACCGGGAGGACGCGCGGCCTCGGCTTGGGTCAGCGCACGCTGCCCCGACTCGGCTACCTCACGTTACCGGGGCCCTGGCTTTGGGCGTGGTCTACCGCACCACCGAACAGGCGTGTTCGAAACCGCAGGAGATGATGATGAACGGGTTTATCGAAACTTGATTGGATGAGCATATCGGTAATAGCGATTTCAGTGTGTGCATTTATTGTTCATAGTAGTGTGAAATGTGGTTGGGGTACGACCGACAACCCGTCGGGGCGAATTTCGCACTGGGGTACTCAAAATTTGAAGAATTTAAGACGTTTCCATGAGTTTTGAAGGTATGGATAAGTTCTAAAAATCCGGTTCTCCTTATCTGGGCCATTAACTCCATACGGTCCAAGAAAGCTGGCACACTACCTTTAACCCATCTGCAGTTGTTTTGTTTGGCGCTACATTACACGGCACTTAGACACCATACAAATAAAAAATGAACAGCACCATCGGATGCGCCATTCAATTTTGAATTAGAAACCATCTGCAAACGGTGAAATATTAAAACATGATTGTTCTGATTTATTGGCGGTTTTGAAGGCCATCTGGGCCCAGTGTGGCGTCAGCGCGGCGCGGCGGTACATACAGGTGCGTGCCGGGCAGAGCGCCGCAGCGGCCGGGCAGAGCGCCGCAGCGGCCGGCGCGTGGCGGACGGGCCGCGGGTCGGCGGACGCGTACTGGTATGGACTATGGAGTGGCCAAGAGTGCTGTTACACAGCGGCATTCTGGCGCTGTGATAGGTGGTAACAAGTGACTAGATCCATAGTGTTAACATGTACGAATGGTGACCTGAAGAGTGGAAATCGCGAACGCTCGCCGAGTGGACGCTGTGGACAGGGTGGACGGGCTGTGGACGAGCTGTGGACGGGGTGGACGGGGTGGACGAGCTGTGGACAGGCAGTGTGCGGAGTGTGCAGAGCTCTTGAAGGAGCCGGTCAGGATGAGAGCAGACTGAGCGGCTGGGAGTCAGTGCCAGTGGAAACAGCGACTCACTGAGCACGTTGCACGTTCCATATGCACGTTGGGCGCACGGAAGACTTGCACTCGTGGAGGAAGGCACGGAGCCGAAGCCGGACAGAGCCGCCGGCGGCGGGTCCGGCCGGCCGCCGCTCGACCGGGCACCGGCATACAGTGCTATGAAAGGCGCCGTAGAGCCGCGCCTGGTCGAGCCGCTGATGCTGACGGCCTTTTTACAGAAAGCAGAAGCTTGTACGCTCGTTGGGTTAGTAATTTATTACGGCTCAGACGTAATTCGTCCCCTGGCTGGCACACCAGAGCAGCCCACGTTGCAGTGGCTGGCCGAGCGCGCCGCGCGCTGGCAGTAACAGCGCCGTGTGCCGCTCCGACAGCTGGTCTCAGCTGCAGTGCCGTACCCAAGGGGGGGGGGGCACGGGGGCCAAGGCCCCCCCTGAGCGCCGAAGGCGCTCAGGGGGCCCCTCAGGCCCCAGGATATTTTTTAAACACTGGATAAAACGTCTTTTACTCGGAAGAAAAATTGATATTAAAGTTTCATTTATGTGCCCTGGGTACCCGAGGGGCCCCTGCAGTCATCCAAGGGCCCCCAGTTTCCTGGGCCCCTGGTCGCCTCGGGGGCCTCTGGTAGCCGGGGGCCTGGTCTCATGGGGGCCCCTGATAGCCTGTGGCCCCTAGTCGCCTAGGGGGCCCTGGTCGCATGGGGGCCTCTGGTCGCATGAGGCCCCTGATCGACTGGGGGCCCCTAGTTGCCTAGGGGGCCCTGATAGCCGGGGGTCTGGTCGTATGGGCCCCTGATAGTCTGTGGCCCCTAGTCGCCTAGGGGGCCCTAGTCGCATGGGGGGCCTCTGGTTGCATGATATTGAGGCCCCTGATCGCCTGGGGGTACCTAGTCGCCCAGGGGGCCCCTGGTAGCCGGGCGGCCTGGTCGCATGGGGGCCCCTGGTTGCCTGAGGCCCCCGGTCGCCCCTAGTCGCCTGGGGGACCCTGGTCGCCTTGGGCCCCTGGAAGCCTGGGATCCCCTGGTCGCCTGGGGGCCCCTGATCGCCTGAGGGCCGCTGGTCACCTAGAGGGCCGCTGGTCACCTAGAGGGCCCCTGATCGCCTGGGGGCCCCTGGTAGCCGGGGGCCTGGTCGCATGGGGCCCCCTGGTCGCATGGGGCCCCTGATCGCTTTGGGGACCTGATCGCATTGGCCCTTGGTCGCCTGGAGGGCCCTGGTCGCCTGGGGCAGTGGGGCCCCTAGTCATCTGGAGGACCTGGTCGCCTGGGAACCCCTGGTCGACTGGGGGCCCCTGGTCATCTGAAAGTACGCTTATCACCTGATTGATCCCAAATCATCTGAGTGGCTACTGGCTACTGGATATAAGTAGTGACTGGAGTAGGCACTCATCTGAAGGAGCCAATGTCTTTCACGGTGCCGGTGATATCACAGAAAAACAAAAAGGCTAAACTGAATACCCCCCAACCTTTGCCCCAAAGGCGTCATTGGCTAACACAGGGATGTGGGTCGATTTGCAGTCGCATTTCCTCCTAAGTCCTATTCCTCCAATTAACCCTCGCCCGCACATGGGGGGGGGGGGGGGTGGTTGCCACCCCCCCAGGCAGTCTTTCTGCTCTGCACTCAACATTTTTAGAGCTAGAAGGCTGATTTTTCGTATAGCTGCTCGTCTATCCTTTCTTGATGTCCACTGAAAATTTCAAGTTTCTGTGATTTTTGGTTTCGGAGATATGACCTTGTTTTTCAGGTCATGTCATGACCCAAATGGCCAATTCTCAACATCTTGCGTTTGCCATGGGCCTTGTGAGCTTTTGACACCCTGATTTCGGCCTTTTTTGCCAGTCTTACCTCCCACCTATCATGGAACATGTTGTTCGACGATGTAGGGGAAGCCGGGGGAAGCCCGGGCGCGGGGGAAGCCCGGCCACCCCGTTTCCGGCTAAATTATTCACAATAAAATGCTCAACTGTTTGTCATTTCAGCGTGGCAGCTAAGGTAACGCCAGCAAAATAGTTAAGACTGACAAAAATTGCATATTGTTAAAGTTATAGCGCAAAAATGATATTTTAAGGGTTTTTAGCTAAAAAGTGAGGTATGTTGCACTGTTAATGTTATACCATACAGTACTAACATGTATACGAATGTTATGTAAGGACCGTTTAAGTGTTTGTAGTGAGGGGTGACGAGGCACGCTGGCTTAAGTATGACATTTTTTTCGAATATCGCTGTTCCAAAATAAAAATTAGCACATTGGGGTAACCCCGGGCGAGTGGCCAAGCTTACCCCCAACCGAGAGCAATGCCACTAAACCACTGTTTTCCATGAGATAATAGGTACTGAGCAGGTTTGGTTTACACCTAGATCAAAGATAAATTTCGAAAATAAACATGTTATCATAGACAAAGCCAGTCATGTCACTTAAGGTCAACTAGGGTCAAACTACGTTTTTGCAGATAACGCGACAGACAATGAAGCTAGAGCTTCAAAAATGGTGTCGTTGTGTTCTTCTTTATCAGCCGAGTCGAATGATATGCAATATGATGCATTAAGGTAAAAAGAAAAATAAATTTTAAGGAATTTTGAAATACACATTTTTTGTCAATTTTGCATCACGATTTTCATCGACCTGTTGTACTGTATATGTAGTAGACGCTAGCTAAAATACCAGTAATGACATAAACTCTAAGATGTCCAGAGCTAATAAGTAGGTACCTTAATATTTCACTTTCCGTTAATATTTGGAAAACACATAATGGTTTCATCAACTCGTTGTAAAGCGCTGGGGAGGTGGCCGGCGTTACCCCTATGCCGGGCTTACCCCAGAAAAATCAACACTTTTTTAAACTCGATTTTCTCAACCTTATACTTATTCTACGAAACCGAATTTTTGGGAAAACACGGCCAATGAACTTAGCTAGCTAGCAGGATATCAACATTTTATACAGCACGTATGGTATGTAATAAAAATGAAAAAGAGCTTACTATGCCGGGCTTCCCCCGGCTTCCCCTACAGGGGTCAAGGTCAGGGTCAAGGTCAACCTAGGTCATCTGAGATAATTGCGTTTTAGGCAAGCTGAATTTACTTTTTGTAAGTTTTTTGACTGCATTTTTGGTAAAAGCTTCTCAGATCATGATTTCATGTGATATGGACCCAAAAACAATCGGTGCACACATCAGTATACACACAGACACACACAGACATACAAACACATATAATTGACCTTGACCTAACTTGACCTGAAATGACCTCAGCAGCAAAATTCTGGTCGGATAGTGTGACAAAGAGGTTCTAGCTGGCTTGGCACCAGAAAACAGCATCGTCATCGGTATTTGATAAGCAGCGCACTTGATATCCAACGGTGACCCAAAACAGCAACATTTTTTAGTTTGACCTGACCTGGAAGGTCAATGACTGACCTGAGAAGGTAAAACTGGGTATCATTGGATTCGTCTCTTCCCAAAGAATCTTTTTGGTCTTTACTGCTAAGCTCTATCTCCAACAGGAACGAAATGGCGCGGGGGGGGGGGGGTGGCAACCACCCCCCCATGTGCGTTCTAGGATGGGAAAATGGCATGTGCGGGCGAGGGTTAATACAGAGTGTCCCAGAATTACCCAAGCATTTATTTTCTGGCTTAAAGTACAATTGCGCTCGATTCCTAGTGAAACATATAATAGCCGCGTTTACATAGGGCTAGTTGCCAGATAGTGGAATTATACCTACATATCCGGAATCGGAGGATGTTCAGTAATTGAGGCGCTCGCTCATAAAATGCCGTGCGTTTCATGCACAGTGTGCACACTCCTCAAGCAAAAATATTTTTACTTTCCAATTTTCCACATTTTCTCAAGGCTTAGACCGTTACAGAGACCGTTTTAATTGACTTTGATGAAGTTGAACGCGAGAAATCACAACCAAATGCTACATTAGGTTATAAAGAATTGAATTGCATTTTCCCACACACGTGGCGTTTTCTCACCTACGTCTGCAGGAGAGACCGGACCCACTATGCCCCCCCCCCCACCATCGAAAGGATCTTCATGACTCCCGGGGGCCCCCGGGGAACCTGGGGGGCCCTATACACTGTGGGGGGCCCCTTCGAAAGCAGGTGGCCCCCTCCTGGGCGAAATCCTGGGTACGTGCCTGCTCAGCTGGTGTGCCGCTCCGACAGCTGGTCTCAGCTGGTGTGCCGCTCCGACAGCTGGTCTCAGCTGGTGCTGTGCTGGGCACCGAGCCGAGCCGGCGCCATGTCAGGCGGAGGTCACCGGGTGACCGCTGCAGATCAGATGGCCGCCGCCGGCCGCCGGCGTGCCAGCTCGCCCGGCCGGCCGCCCCCGACCGCCGCTGGCCACAAGGGACTCAACAACGAGCCGGGCGCAAACAACTGCTTCCTCAACGCCGCCGTCCAGGTCAGTGGGACTGTGCTGTTACTTGTCCGCAATCAGCGTTCCCCGTCCGCTGTCTGTGCTGTTACCCTCGGCTGTCAGCGTTCCCCGTCCGCTGTCGGTGCTGTTACCCTCGGCTGTCAGCGTTCCCCGTCCGCTGTCGGTGCTGTTATCCTCGGCTGTCAGCGTTCCCCGTCAGCTGTCGGTGCTGTTACCCTCGGCTGTCAGCGTTCCCCGTCCGCTGTCGGTGCTGTTACCCTCGGCTGTCAGCGTTCCCCGTCCGCTGTATGTGCTGTTACCCTCGGCTGTCAGCGTTCCCCGTCCGCTGTCGGTGCTGTTACCCTCGGCTGTCAGCGTTCCCCGTCCGCTGTATGTGCTGTTACCCTCGGCTGTCAGCGTTCCCCGTCCGCTGTATGTGCTGTTACCCTCGGCTGTCAGCGTTCCCCGTCCGCTGTCTGTGCTGTTACCCTCGGCTGTCAGCGTTCCCCGTCCGCTGTCGGTGCTGTTACCCTCGGCTGTCAGCGTTCCCCGTCCGCTGTCGGTGCTGTTATCCTCGGCTGTCAGCGTTCCCCGTCAGCTGTCGGTGCTGTTACCCTCGGCTGTCAGCGTTCCCCGTCCGCTGTCGGTGCTGTTACCCTCGGCTGTCAGCGTTCCCCGTCCGCTGTATGTGCTGTTACCCTCGGCTGTCAGCGTTCCCCGTCCGCTGTCGGTGCTGTTACCCTCGGCTGTCAGCGTTCCCCGTCCGCTGTCGGTGCTGTTACCCTCGGCTGTCAGCGTTCCCCGTCCGCTGTCGGTGCTGTTACCCTCGGCTGTCAGCGTTCCCCGTCCGCTGTCGGTGCTGTTACCCTCGGCTGTCAGCGTTCCCCGTCCGCTGTCGGTGCTGTTACCCTCGGCTGTCAGCGTTCCCCGTCCGCTGTATGTGCTGTTACCCTCGGCTGTCAGCGTTCCCCGTCCGCTGTCGGTGCTGTTATCCTCGGCTGTCAGCGTTCCCCGTCGTCTGTCGGCGCTCTCAGTTCTCGATCTGAGTCACGCCTTCCACAGTCCGCCGGCCCGCTCACTGCCCGCAGCAGTGCTCGCCCGCACTGGGGGGGGGGGGGGGGAACTGCCGACCGGTCCCGTAGTCCCACACGGCGCCATTCTGAGTCAAACCACCCGCTCTGAGTTAAACCACCTAGTCACGAAACTGTCGAGAAAAGCTGAGTACTTAAAGGTAGTGTGCCAGCTTTCTTGGACCGTATGGAGTTAATGGCCCAGATAAGGAGAACCGGATTTTTAGAACTTATCCATACCTTCAAAACTCATGGAAACGTCTTAAATTCTTCAAATTTTGAGTACCCCAGTGCGAAATTCGCCCCGACGGGTTGTCGGTCGTACCCCAACCACATTTCACACCACTATGAACAATAAATGCACACACTGAAATCGCTATTACCGATATGCTCATCCAATCAAGTTTCGATAAACCCGTTCATCATCATCTCCTGCGGTTTCGAACACGCCTGTTAGGTGGCTTCTGATGCTCGTCGAGGTCGGAATTTCCAAATACGCGTGGTGCGTCGGGCCGCGCGCTCTGACTTCGGCCAAGAAAAATGCGTCAGCTGATCATTGTCATTTCTGCCACTTGCTTGTGGTGAAATGGGGTCATAACTTAAAAGACGGCTTTTTCATATCAATTATTTTACATAAAATCATATTTCAAACCATAAATAATGTTCGACAGCCAAATAAAAGAAACAATACCAATACGGGCTTACAGTTTAAGGCTCGACATTGTGTTGTCTACGATTAGACAGCTGATAACTCATTCCCGTACGTCGTATGGTCGTAACACTATAATGACCTTTGCTTATTGTCACAAGTGCGCCGCATTCGCGATTGTTGCCCGACGCCTGTTTGCAGGTGAGCCCACTACAGTTGTTACCTATACATATCTAAAAACCGAAAAACTTTTAGGCGAAAAAGGCACTATTCCAGGCCCATTTTTGATTTTTTTTTGCGATATTAGATAAAAACAGAAGCTTCTTATCCTAGGAAAAATAAAATGGGAAATCTTTCAAAGGTGGCACACTACCTTTAAATGAAAGGAGGTATGTACCATCCTGAAAATGGTGTATTCGCAGATCACATTAATCATTACAAATAAGAAACCACTGGTACCCCATGCAGGGGCGTCACCACGGATTTTGGACTGGGGGGAGTGGGGCGGATTGGCTGACTTTGGATTGGCTGAAAAACCCTAAAGCTATACCGTAGGGGAAGTTGGGGGAACGCCGAATACTTTTTTTCTGACGCCCGTAGCACGCAAGGTAGACAACATAAGCTATTCTTGTTGGCGTCATTCGAGAGGCCAGTCTTTTGCCTTTCAAACATACCAGGCGCATTTGATGAATTCGCATACCGTTAAGCGCACAAACTAAAAATATCAAAGAAGTGACTTTTTCGGCGTTGCCCCGGACTGCGGGGAAAGCCGAAAATGGGAGAATTGATCTACGGGAATGCCGAAATTGATGTTTTGCTATTTTATATCAAATTTTATCCAGAATTCGTCAAAGCTGACACGCGTTTTAAGAGCTTGAGGACGCTTGGTGCACACTGGAAGTTATAATTGTGTGATATAATAAGAAAAGGTAAGGTAAATCATTCCTTATGGTAACAGGCCGTTGTGTCGGTTAAAAGTATAATTTGTGTGACTGAAAATACGCGTTGCTATTCTACAGCGGTAAAGTTCACGTAGTGTGCTTTAACGCGCGTAATTGCACGTTTTTGGCATTACCCCAGCCAGCCATACTTTCATTTGCAGGCCCATAACTTTTCAACGTGCTGTATAAATTTCAAATAGGCAGCACACTTATGCAAAGACGTGCTGAAGATTATTTGACCGAATTGGCCAGACAAACGGTAGCATAATGAGTAGGAAATGCAGCTTCGAAGACGCATGTAGTACAAAGGAAACGTACCTTGAAAACGCTCTTGGCGCCATTACAGCCGAAGTATTCCGAATGACGACTGGTAACAAACATGCGGCAATTGGTAGTCACTTAAGCTTCAGAGCATCACTGACAGGTGGCATCCATGTCGTACGGTTTTCGAAATATCTCGAATTTCGGCTTTGCCCCAACTCCGGCATTGCCCCAACTTCCCCTACATTTTCAGGGCTATGTATTACTTCTAACGCATGCACATGTTCTTCCCGCGTGGAGGCGTTATTAACCCGCGCCCTGATGGGGTATGCCGAGCAACGCGGTCTGATTGTGGGGGGGGGGGGGCATTTTGGCCCCCCTAAGATCTCGAGAGCCACGCAACATAGCGACAATCGGCAAACGGCGTTGGATATCCCAAACAAGGAACTACCTTATGACCCAATTTCATTCACCTCGTTCTAACTGATGACGTCACAGATCAGGTCAAAGGTCGAATTTTCACCGTTTACAGGCATTGCAAGAATTGCGTTGTAAAATCGAGTAAAATGCATTTCATTGAAAATCATCGATGGGGAAATGTTCGTCAAACACATATTTTGCTATTTGAGGTCACTGATACCAGGTCAGGTCACATATCAGGTCACTGAGGGTCACAATATAAAATATCATGTGATGCATGTTTTATGGTCCATTTTATATGCCAAATGCGATTATGAGGGACAGGCAGCCCTTGGGGTCAGTTGAGATTATGTTTTGGTGAAGGTCAGGTCAAGGTCAGGTCAAGTTCAGGTCAAATTAGGCCAAATTTCAAAGTTGATATTTTTTGCATAAACTAGGTATCAATTCGATGCAGCTCGTCACGGGGTGTTCAATGGTGGTCTTTGCTATGCGCTACGGTGTCTAGAATTGCTAAAAATTGAGTTAAAAAAATTTGACGTCATCAATTTGAACAGTTTTTTCGCTATAACTTGGCCAAAAAAGGAGGTATCGGTCTAAAATTTGGTATGCAGGGGAAGGTGGGGTAAGACGGCCCAGCGGGGCAAGACGGACCACCAGCCCTCCCGGCTGAACCACTGCTGCATTATCTACTGCTTTATGCACTCACTACCTTTGTTTTCCTTCGTAACAATGGCCACCTTGATCTCATGCGGCTAGGATGCATAGCTTTTGAGTTATTGAGAAAAGTGTTGTTTCCGTCAAATCGATCTAATATAAGAGGTCTACGGGTGATTCAATTTCGGCGCCTTTCTTGCAGTGGCGGATCCAGGGGGGGGGGGCTGCGGGGGCTGGCAGCCCCCACCCAAGGAAAACTGGCGCCACTGCGCCGAAGGCGCAGTGGCGCCAATTTTCAATTCGCAACTCATCGGAGTGCCGCATACTAGGACTAGGATGCAAAAATCAGTCGAATAACGTCGTTTCAGTACGCTCCGCACCGATATTTCCAATCGTGTGGTGTCACTGTACAGTCTGTCTTAAAAGTACCGCGCAAAGTGACGGTGGATCCATCAAGCCTGGCCTAGAAAGGGCCTGCCTTAACTTGAAAGTTACCGACCAATTGACCTAGGGAATGGACGAGGATGTCAATTGCTTCGGTGACCCAAATTTAGCAGGCCCTTCCTCAGTCAGGGTCGATGGATCCACCGTCACTTTGCGCGGTACTTTTAAGACAGACTGTACTACATACTGATCCTGGGCGCCTCTTGTCAGGGCCACTGGGCGCCAATATTTCAGCGCCAATACGATGCGACTATGGCGCCCATCCGGGGCGTGGCGCCCAATTATGACCTGCAGCCCCTCCCCAGTGAAAATCCTGGATCCGCCACTGCTTTCTTGCATGATTAGTTTCTATTTTGCACTTAACTGTGAAGAACAATGCTATAAACTTAGTTATAGTCACACTTTAGGACAGGCAAGGTTTCGCAATGTTGGGCTATGCGTATGCGTCATGATAATGACAGAATTTAGATTTGGGGCAAGACGGACCACTGTGGTCCATCTTACCCTGTGGTGGTCCATTGTACCCTGCATATGGAAAGTTCTTTTCTAAAACATTGACACAAGTTTAAGCAAGCTAATTTTTCAGGAAGGAGTCTTTGTTGCATG